GCACGAAAATATGCTCAGATATTTGTCCTTGGACATTATCTGTTCCTCAGCCCTCACAGTTTTAATTTTCTCGAGCTACGCTCTCGGAAAACTGTTCGCTTCCAGGAACAGATTATGTCCGTGGCACAAAATATCCGTATTTATTATCCAACTGCAGCGAATACCGTCCAAATAACAGTACAAACATACAGCGATATTGTAGAGTTATTTGTACAGTAGAAGACCTGTTTGCCGGACAGGTCGACACGCGAACGCAAAACTGTTACACTCTCCCAGATGGATAATAAATCTCCTATCAGATGTTTTGGTGTGTAGTATCGCTGTATATATTTACTCGTTGTTTGTATTTTGACGAGCCCTACTGGCTCGCTCGTCAAAATGTATACGACACAACTCGCACCAAATGGAGGCTATTGTTTATATATCGTGATTTAACAGTGTCTCGCAGACCAATTATTTGCCTCAGCCTTCAGCTTCGGGAAATAACTGATCTGCTCAACACTGACAAATCACGATATTTTCCTCCACCTCGTCCAATAATTGTGAATTATTCACTTTTCCAGCTCTATTGGTCCCCAGTATGTTAAGGTGTTATGGTAGACTGAGTAGGCAAGCAAGTGAGACAACTTAATTTACCTTAATTTTGTTAACTTCAAGTTGATAAATAGCTCCCGGGGCACTCCCTATATTGGCCTGTATAGAGAGGCTCCGCCCGAAAGGGGTACTTTTTGCAGACTTCAGGTATATAAAAGGGTAGGGATTTCACAAGTTGAGGTATATGAAAGGGAGGGGAAATCTGTCATTTATTTATTTAAAAGCGGCTGTAATGAACTGAAATACTTTGAACTGACGCACTTTAGGCATGGCTGTATAATTTAAGCCTTTAAACCTTTAAACCCCATCTAAGTACCTTTTTCAACTAAATGTACACGGAAGGGAAACCTTTTCCGTCAAAATGGTTTACAAAAGGTTAAAAAGTTGGACGTCGGGGCGGAGCCTCCCCTTATAAAACTTTATACAGCCTCCCCGGGAAATAGCTGAGTATTTCTTATACTTTAATACACTAGCTAGTGAGAAGAACTTGAGAAGCATATCGTCAGGCAACAGTCGTTCGTCGTCGATAAGAGTTTGCCGTTGACAAACTCTCGTCCAAGGCATAGCATGCACCTTCATTAAGCAGTTTTAAATCCTATCTATTAGATCATTTGTGTCAATTTTAAATCAGGTGTAACTCGTGAGTGACATGTATGCAATTTAATTAGGTTAGCTTTGGGCCGTATTTAAATCGTATTTCATAATTCTTAGTGTCAATTTTTAGTATGCAATTTAATTAGGCTAGTTTTGGGCCGCACTTAAATTTTAAATTTTACTTCTTAATTGTTTTAGAATGTTTAATATCGGAGAATATTCTTTGTACGGGAATTTAGTTTCCCCCAATTATTCTCCAGTCATATACTTTTTGTAATTTCTGTGATTTATTTACTTGTACTAGCATGACAAAGTATTATTAAACTTAAACTTAAACTTAAGCTTAAACTTAAACTTAAACTTAAACTTATAGCTTAGTTTGCTGGTAAGATCCTAAATTCATTTTAAAGCAAGGCGCGAGTGACATTTCATTGTTTGCTGGTGGAAGATCAGACTCATGAAAAACGCGAAACGTAGCAACAATGTTTATTGATGGCCTTGTGTAGTAAAAGTTGCGGTCATTCTCGTCACCATGGCAGAGCCCTTCGTTCCTCCTTTGTCAAATCACGTGACTAGCGTAGGCCCCAGAGACAACGATAGGTTTTGATGGAAAACCAATGCCCAGGATGCAGTTGTTCAACTAAAGAGTGGATAACGCTATCCATCGGAGAAATCGGTATCCAGTGGATACATATCGACAAAACAAACTATGCTATCTGTAGCTAAAGATTAATCCGGTGGAAAGCGTTATTCACTACTCTTGAACAACCTGGTCCAGAGCTGATCATCAGCCTTGCAAGCCTTTCCGTTGGTCAGGGATCAAAGACTCTGGGGTACAGAAATGAGTTGTCAAGTTAACCTGTCAAACTTTGCCTCCGGCATAATTTTAGCTAATTATCCTTGTGAGTCGATCAATAGACGTTAATAAGCCTGGTTTTCACCAGGACATAAGCCGAGCATGTTACAAAACATAACGGCTGTGAGGAAGTTCACAACACAAGCATAAGCCCAAGCACACGGTAGAGAGGACAAACGTAACACAAGCAAAAGCTAACAAAAGTACACAAGCAGAACTTGCGCTGATGCTTATGTCAAGTGAGAGCGCACCACTCAAAGCATTAGCATAATTCCGCCATATGATTTTCTTTTTCTGTATCGAAGAGGTATGGAAACTCGCTACCGATGATTTAGCTTATGTCGTAGTAGTAACCAGGCCTTTAATATACGAGATTATGTCACTTGCTCAAAATTTACCACCAAGCCTCGTTTGCGCGCAATTTTCCAAAGTTCTGGTTCTCAAACTTCTGGTTTACCTTCGTGTCGTTTTCACGTGGGTATTCTTTTCATCTCTGCTGTTTTGAGAATTTGTTCACGATAAAATTTGTAATTTCCATTTTCAGACCGAGGCTTGGTAGTGATTTTACTAGTCTGATGTCAGTACTGGTCGACAAGCGTCACCAGGACAAAAGACCACGTATAGATTGCTCACTAAAAAAAAAAATAATAAAAACTGTCAAAATACCCCTCCAGTCAATTAAGCCCCCTCTTTCCCTCTGGCATCAGCTTGACGTTTTCTCATAGGCTCTCGTGGAAATAATTCGCTTACTGATTTTACAACTAGGAGTTCAAACCATTTCTAAAGGTAAGGTTAAGTCTGCATACCAGCTACGTGACCCTTCAGTACAGCGCTTATCTCCGGTTTCAGGAGCATCAAGCAACTAGGAGTATTTCAACTACCCCTGGATGGGATGCTTGTCCAGCGTAGGGTTACCCCCAGCAGTTCGCCGGTACCCATTTGTCCACCTGGGTGGAGGAAGGCACTGTGAAAGTTAAGTGTCTTGCCCAAGAACACAGCACAATTTCCCTGGCCAGTGCTCGAATTAACGCGGACCGCTTGGTCTGGAGGCGAGCGCACTAACCATGAGGCCACCGAGTCTTCACTCAAATTAAGTAGAGGGGCATCCTTAGTATGGTGCATCAGCGCCTTTTGTTGTCTCCTCCTCCATAACTTTTCTTTACAGTAGCAATTAATTTTAATTTAATTTATTATCTGTTCGTAACTTAGTGGACTGAATCTGCACTAAATAAATACATGGTATGCATTAAAAGTCGAAATATCTAGTCAACAAATCATGTGCCTTCAAGTGCAAGCCAAGAATAGAATGAAGCCATGTCACGAATCATTGTCCTTGTTCGTCACGTTATATTTTTCTTACTAGTTAAATAACCCCTGACAGTGTTCAAATCGAATTTCTGGCTTGACAGCGTTGTTACGTATCATACCCAGTCGCTATTTACGTGTTTTGGGAAAGAGAAGACTGCATGGATCTTAGAGTGGCTTGAGGAGCACGGGTGTCGTGGAAAAGGTACGTCGAAACAAAAAACAGCGACGTCGCTACTTTTTCCCGCCTCTTTCCATAACTCTCCGCGCGCTCCACTCGATTCATATCGCTCTTTAAAAAAATCCAGTCGTACCTTTTGTACCTGTACACAACGAATGGGTACGAATCTGGTACCCAGCGTTATATAAATATTACATAGATGTACTCCTATCCAATACGCTTAACATTAGTATGGCCAGGAACCCACTGGCTCCTGGTATGGCATAACATTGCAATACATATTTTATAGACTCGCTAAATCAACGGACAGATAATTCCAACTGGTCGTCTAAAGTAGTCTTAGCTAAAAGTTTTTTGCAAACCAGATCGTTTCCTGGAAACTTCGGTCGTCCTTCGTAATTGGTCATGTCAACATTTTTTAAAATAGCACCCCAGTTGTGATATGCAGACAAATACACAAATCCTTGTAAGAGGTGATTTCTCTGATGGCGTCCATTGACCACAACTGCCAAAATCATCCTTCACTTTATGTTTTCGCGTGCTAATTAGGACATGTGCGCTCACTGAGGCTTCAAAGTTTAAGTAATAAAGGAAAAACGAAGCTTTGCCGGTAGCATGTTTGTTTTTGTTATCACATTAGTGTGAATGTAGTGTAGACTGTGTATGTCATGTAGGGTATGTAGATCAATATGTACCTTAGCTGAACTAAATTTTTTTTTGCTGCCATTTCCTTGACCATGGCGGTGGCCAACCAGAAAGCTCTTGCTATTTTGGTCACCGCTCACATACAAATTTTATTTCCTTACGGCTCTATATTAACGTTTTACTATTTTCATTTACTTTACCAATAAATTGTATTTAAAATACCTAGTATAGTGTAAACTGACGACTTTATGGCGCAAGTCTGTTGTTCATAGATTAGTTAGAATAAAAGCAAAATAATAAAAAAAAAAAACAACACATTGATTGTCTCTCCGTTATACCTCCACCTTAAAATTGGACGAAAAAACAAAACAAAACAAAACAACAACAACAACAACAACGACAACAACAACAACAACAAAAAAAACAATCAATTTTCACAATTTTCAAATTCCCAGGGGAAAACCTACCCATTTGCTTTCCAGCCGAAACTTCCGTGAACTGTATTAAATCGAAAGCTTAGCAAAACTTTGCCCCTAAGGTTCAAAAGGCGTCAAAATATGTGTGTTTTAAGATCTTATAAGGTTATCTTATCTTTTAGGTTATCTCATATATCTCGCAGAATGTCCTAGTAAACGTTCTCGGTGGCCTTCGATAACAAAAGCAAACTCTGACTGCTGTTTCGCTTACCTTTAGGTGATTGTCAGGAAGGCTTTGATTGTTCAAATTTTATACGATCCAAGCCGCGCACGAGAGGTCTTTTTAAATCGGAAATTGAAATAGTTGTTCTCTTCCGCTTATACGGGAGGTGCCACTGACGGAATTTTTTTTAATACAGTTTTTTCGTAAAGAAATCGACAGGACTGCTATTTTTAAAGATTTGCTGCAAGTTCTGCAGAGCTTCAGGAAAATTCTTGGCAATTTTCTGGTTTGTAACGCACAAACGGTGGGCGCATATGGGCAACAGATTCTTGACCGTGACTCTCTCTTCGGGGACTAGTAACCACCCACTTGACACTGGAGCTTGTTAGAACGAAGAATCTCAATATGGGCAAACGATTTAGTCACAGAAAAGTGTCTCTGTTTTGTCGTTGAAGAGGCGAGAAAATGCGGCCGATCGCCATCGAGACAACTTGATAATGGCTAAGGGGTTACACTTAGCCTTTGGATTCATTTTACTTTTGTGTCTCCTTCGGACAACAAGAACATCTTCGGGGTATGATGAAGGTGAGTTAAATTCTTACGCAGTAAGCTTGTTTGGTATCCGAATTTTGAAGTGAGCTTAGTTTATTGACTTGAATCTTCAGTGTACGTTAGTGCCTCGTTACGCTAATGGAGGTCGAATTTTAATTTTTGTTTTTGTGCCTTCTTCACGGCATGTTGAGTTCTATTGACTACATTAATTTGTCATGGGGCCAAATCTTTTGAAAGCTTTGAGTCGCAGTCCACTGATTCGCGCGTGAAGATTGTTCGAGAAGGGACTCTTCCATTCTTCACGGATTTCTAGATTCAATAGAACTAAAGTTATTCCTTTCTGTAGAGTTCATCCCGCTGGGGTCATTTTTAACAAAGTGGAATCGTAGATCATTTTAATGCCTGAAGACAAAAAGCTACGATTGATCGGAATGTGAATTGTGGCATGGTAGTTTTTAAACACGCTCCAATGCGTGTATTCAAAGCGAAGAATCGTCGCTTTTATTCCCGTCGCTTTGGAGTGTGTCGTAGTTAATTGCTCATTTACTTGCATCCCTTCCAAGTTATTTCCATACTTTACCCTTTTGATCGTTGGCTAAATCATTTATCAGTTCTGTTCTGCGTGTAAAACGCATCACCTTCATCTGAAATTCAATACGGTCCAAGGTCGTCTTTTTATACCAAAGTAAATAAATTGAAGGACCTTTTTGCCTATATCCATCACGTTTCAGCGAAAACATAAAATAATTAAGTTCTTTTTAAAGTAGTCTTTGATTTGTAGCAATGATTAGAAAAATATTTATTGAACATATACTGTAGCGCATTCAAAGTCACTCGTGAACGTGAAATATTAGATTCCCGTGGACCAAAGCTTAAATTTAAATAATTTAACTGATCATTTTGAAGGTTGTATTGCCTCTGCTTGGCCTGAATTGGAAAGAAAACATTAGGACAAACTAGCAATCAATTTAAAAAATAAATCATCGAAGGCTAGAGAGCTTTGCTTTCAAATCAAATACTTTCTTGGCTTCGTAAACACGTTCTCTTCAATGCGTTGTAAGTGTAAGTGTGCATATGTGGAAACCATGCATTGACGTAGGAAAGTGACGGTATAATTTCATAAACTCTTTATGTTAGCATGCCGCATTGTAGTCCAAATAGCAATATAAGGGTACAAGCGGATAGTCGTTTATCATCCACACAACTCTGTGACAGTCTTTTTTTAAAACATACATACATACATACATACATTCTTTATTCAAGACGCAAAGTTACAAGAGTATACATATAAAAACAAAAGATAAAAAAAGAAAAGGCGTCTCGAAAAGGAAGTTATGAGGTAAACCCTATGTAAAAACTCCCTAAAATAATACGAGAAATGCAGAAAATTTGTTGCCAGCCAGGCAGTCACTTTGTCATTATGAAGAATAATGGCTTTTGGTAAAGGGTACATGCAGTTTCTTTGGGGAAGTTACCCTTTCCTTGTTGTTGTTTACAAGCCAACTAGTAAATTTAATTTACTGGTTGGATTCTGTCCTAGTCAAACCTCGACAGAGGAGTTTGTGATGGGCCCCTGCCAATTCCTGCCAATCTTTGGTTACTGGAGTAACCAAAATTGGTGCTGTGGCTGGGAAAGAGTTTTAAACCTCTTAAATTGGGCAGGAGTTTTCAAAGACGATTTCTAGTCTGTACTGCGCACTCTTGAGAGTTTGTTTGCATTTTTTTGGCTTGTTTCACGTAAAACATCACAAAATGTAAACATTTTGCAACTACTTACGAGAAGTAAGGCCCAGTTCAGATGTCGTGCTTCTGTTGTGCCAAACTAAATTGCAGTTAGGTTTGACTGTAGCACGGCTGGAAAACAACTCTGATTCAGATGTCATGCAAGAGTCGAACCAAATTCTGGGTATACTGACGCCTTGTAACAATTCTTCTCCTAACTCCCCATGGGAACACAATCTCACCAAAGTACATTAATATAATTTATGAATTTTACTTTGCGCAGCAGAAACACGATGTTTGAATCACTGCCGTGTCAGAGTTGTGTAGCACGGCAGAGCTTGTCGAACTTAATTGCTTGCCGAACTTAATTCAAAAGTTTGATTCAGACACCGTGCTTCTGCCGTGTTTTTGTCGAACTTAATTCCTGAATTTAGTTCGGCACAGCAAAAGCACGACGTCTGAACTGGGCCTAAATTCAAAGTTTCAAAACAACCTCCATTTTGGATGTGAAGCAGTCCAAGTTTTTGCTTCGTTCTTTCTCATATCACTTGATGAAACAACTTCGCCGCTGCAAAAATCAATGGAGCTGTTGGAAAAAGAATTTGGTCTCAAAGATAAGGTATGGGTTTGTAACAAATATCATCAATTCACATTCCATCGCATGAGCCTTACAATGTTTATAAACATTAAGGTGCTAAGACTGCGCAATACGGACTGGAAATCATCTTTAATACAGTTCTACAATGTTCATGAAAAATATGGGAAAAAATGTCTTTTTTTACTGAAACATAGTCTTGTCTTCCCTTCTTCCTCCTAATTACTCCCAACACAGTGCCAGGTTTTATCAAGCCAACATTGCTACAACATTTCAACATTATTTTTGGGGTTTGGGAAGCCATAAATAGTTCTCTTCCCAGATTAGAAAAGAGGTCTGCTAAGGAGGGGTGTCTACTGATGGATTTGGAAGGCTTCAAGTGCAGCATTTTTATGGGTATAGGATCAAGAAAAAGTGTCAGTTTACAAGCTGCCTGTAGGTAGTGTCTGTTAGTGAAGATTGAATCATTTGACCAGTGACCCTCATTTGTTTACTTCTTAGTTCCATGGTACATCGGCTGTTACAATAACAGTGAAGTCTCTGAAGATGCGTCATTCAAACCTGCTTTTGAAGAGGATCAGACGACCCCTGTTTACTGTGTTAGTCTTTGTACTTTTAATGACAGGTATGTAGTTCAATCTAGAATAAACAGTATTAGTATCACCCAACTAGTGGACTAATGCAAATCCTGCATTTTAATTGGCTACGCTACTAGGGGACTATTAGTAATAGTCATCTAGTAGTGAANCAAGGGCCACGGGTCAATAGCCCATGAGGCGAAGCCGAATGGGCTATTGACCCGTAGCCTGCAAGGGCTACAGGTCTAATTGTTAATTAGACCAGTGGCTCATTCTTGAGTTTCTATACCCAATGCCAACTGTCAGTCAATAGAAATCTCAAGCTCATAGTGTATTAAGGATCATTACAGAATTTATGCACTGAGGGTTACGATTTAGGTTCACAGTTAGGGATCAAGGTTCAGAGGTCTAGAAAGGGGGTGTAGATAGGAGGGCCTAAAACAGGGTACAGAGTGGGGGTCCATGTTGTGCTGATCCATGTAATATTGTACTTACTTATGATTTATAATGACTTGTAAGTCTACCTATAAGATGATCACTGATTGTTCCTATTGCATTGTTCATAGGAGTTGATATTATTCATGTATATTTTCCATCACAGCTTCAGATATGCAGCAGTAAGGAATGGAAGCATCTGTATATGTCTCACGCAAATACAAAAGGACAACAGTGCCAATCGCACTCTCTGCAATGTTAGGTATGCAAGCAGCATGTTTGTGTTCAAAAATGAAATGCATGTACAGTGTATTTCTACTGTAGAATTTCTAGCATTAAACAAGAGTTCAGAGATGGGAGTCATGCAGGTGAAAGGTCTCTTGCAAACAAATAAGCACAAGTACATTGTGCTAAGTGGAGGAACAGTGGCCTCATGTTTAGTGCACTTGTCTCCGGATTGACCAGTTTGGGTTCGAGCCCTGACTGGGGACATTGTATTGTGTTCTTGGGCAAGATACTTTACTCTCACAGTGCTTCTCTCCACCCAGGTGTACAAATGGGTATGGTGAATTAATGCTTGGGGGAACCCTGCAATGGACTAGCATCCCATCCAGGGGGGAGTAGAAATAAGTACTAGTCGCTTCATGCTACAGAGAGTGGGATAAGCTCTAGCCTGACGGGCCACTTGGCTCGTATGCAGACTTTACCTTTACCTACATTGTACTAACCTCTTGATTGGACTAGTGATTGCTTGGATTACGGGTACTTTAACTTTAACGTACATTTACAGCGAAGGTGAACACAAATTGAACTGTATAAAAGACATATTAACCAATAGCAAACTAAACTACTCGTGCGTGCGTACGAAGAAATATAGAACTCACACTCACAAGTCTGGTACATTGCCATGGCAGCAATTAAATTAAGTAACGTGTGTTTCCATCGTAAAAGTTAACATGGAAATTCTTAAAACTCTCAGACTTTAAACTTTGTTTTCCATGGTATAGATCACAACTTATAAGCATCTTTTGATTATTTTGCAGTTGCCATGGAGATCAAAATATTATTTGTGGGGGAAGAAATGCAAGTAGTGTTTACTCAACTGCAGTTCCACTGCTTGTGTTGCTGAACATCACTTTACCAAAACAAGTTAAAACTAATACCTCAGTTACTGCTGACTCCAAGCTGTCAATCAAGAGACCAAGAGATGAAGTCAGTAATTTGGACAGAATAAAGCAAGGAAATCAAACTGCAGATGTTATTTTAATTTACTGGTACTCTGGGGTTGAGTTTTGGAATAAAACACGGCATACTCTACATGGAAATCAGACAAGAACCTCAACTGTTTTCTTATTTGTGACACCTGGTAATCACAGAATCTGCGTCGAAGCATCCAATCTGTTTTCGCACCAAAAGATATGTACCGATATTGATGTAGTTGCTCCAGTAGAAGGCTTGCAACTCGTTACGGTCTTTCAAGGAGGTAAAAAGCTGAACCTTTCTTTGCCATTGGTAGTCAAAAGTCACAGGACTGTACTTTTGAAATATCTCACTGCAAGTGGATCAAGACCTGAATTTCAATTTGACTTTGGTGATGGAAGTTCCCCGCTTACCGTCATGGACAATTCTGTGGACCGATACTCATCAATATGCTCTTGCGTTACTGTTTCTCATGTCTTCAAAAGTTGCGGTAACTTTACAATGAATGTGACGGCATCAAATGCTGTCAGTATAGAGTCTGTTACTCAGCCTGGCCAAGTTATGGTGGTAATGTCTATTGGGGCAGTGGAAATAAGCAAAAATGGCATTGGCTGTATGTACGTGGAAGGAAATGTCTCCTGGACCTTGACAGCCATGGTGAAACAGTCTCAGGGGTGTACTCTTTTCTTTCAATGGAATTTTAATGATTCTTCGCCTGATGTGACAACAACAGGTGAGTCACCTATTGAAATAACGAGTGACGCAATGCAGTATCAACTTGAGGATGGTAAAGTACTGTTGAACCTAAAGGAGACTCATAAATGGCTACAACTGCCCTTGTAGAGAAAGACTACAAGCAGTCTCTCTTTTGCTTAAAAATCTGTGGGAAAGAACATCGATTCGCCACGAGCCCTAAGTAGTGTGGGTGATAGAAGACCAATGACAAGAGATGCCCATACTACTTGTGACACTTGGTTTTGCCCCTTGCCTCTGCTTGTTCGTTTGCTTTCTTCCCTCATGGATCTTTGAGCAAAAGGGAGAATGCTGACAGTCTATTGTTTCAAGGAAAAGAAAATGTTAGTATTGATAAGGATCGCTGCAAGTTTGAGACATAAGATATGCCAGTGTTATAAGGAATCGATTCTAGAGAGCGAAGTTTGAATATGAGCTCAACTGCTGAAAAATAAACTTTTCCAGGAAACAACCAATCATACTCTCCCCGAGAAGGGTCAATTAATTCTGAAGGAAGCCGGGGGGAGGGGGGGGCAGAGTTCAAAAACCAAAAATTGAGTTTCAAGGAACAAAACATAAAACCTAGATTACTTGAGCTGTTGTATGATTAACTCACTTACAACTGACTGAGAAAATTTAGCATTATTTTATCTGCGTTGACTGTAAAGTAAAAATTAAGGATAAAATAGTAACAATAATAATCTTTAATCTTTAAATTTGCTTGCTTTTAGCCAATGAAGATTAATTAATTTTCTCAGTCATAAATAATAAATATATATAACAGCCTATTTGGGGTAGAAACAATACCTTATAATCCACTAGTTGCTCATCAACAAACTGCATGTCTCACTGTTTTGTTAACTACAATTGAACCTCGCTATTTCGAACTCTCAGGGGAAATGGAAAATAGTCAGAGTGAGAGTTTGAAGTACTTGATAGTAAATGACTGAAGAGCAAATCCAAGGGAAAAGCTCTTGAGATTGAAATAACCGAGGTTGAATTAATGGAATCCAACTGTAGTTTCTATTGTAGGTTTGTTATTTTTGCATTGTATAGTCATTTGACTTATGGTATGGGTATTTGTTCTTACTCTTTAACTAGCTCCATCAGTGTCTCACACGTTCTCAAGCTCTCGCAGTTTTTATAATGTCACAGTTGTAGCATTTAATGAGTACAGTAGAAGGGAAACAACACAGAAGGTCTGTCTACAAGAGAGATTACAAGGTCAGTACAGTCAAGTGGCCTAGTTACCAGTTAGCTGGTTGGTCTGTGGCATGCATTGAGCAGGTTGAGTTTTAGCTCTGGCCAACCCTGGCCAGGATCAATGTGTTGTATCTTGGGCAAGACACTATTAATAGTCTCACAGTACCTATCTTTCCCCAGTTGTATAAATTGGGTATCAGGATTTTTAATGCTGGGGAACAACCATGTGATGGAATAGCATCTCATCCAGGGGGAGTAGAAATACTCCCAGTCACTTAATGTACTATGGAAACCATTGCCTCAGAAAACTAGTGTTAGGAAAGTGACATACATGTACCCTCATCTTGATTGCCATTATGATAGTTACCCCAAGGTGGAAGGTGTCCTTCTGCATAAGCTACAAGTAACGGAATAAGACATAGTACAACTGTGTTGTAGCCAATCTTGTTTTCCAGAGTGGCATTTATCTGCCACTCTCCACTAGATGGAGATGTTCTGAAATTTAAATTACCAGGTTCCAGGCAATTGATCCCTCTGAGAGATGATCTTGTCTGCCTGGTTTGATCATCTGGAGGAATTTTTCTCTTATGAAGAAGTCTAGTTCATTAGTTTTGCCTGACTGTGAAAATCGATTGACTTAACTCCTGCTGATATTGTTAACAAAACCCTGCACAATAAGTTTGTTATTTTATAAGTCATGATTGTACTTTTAACTTCTCATTTACCTCGATCTGAAAGTGGATAATACAGTCATGTTATTAGTGCTTATCAGGTATGATAATTTTACGCAGGTGTGATATTAAAACCTGAGGTGTCACACATGATGGTGAGCACTGAGGAAACGACGACATTCATGGCACAGCTCAGTCCAAGACTTGCAGGACAAGGCAAAGTCTTATACAAGCTTTACAGGAGTGACAGGGAGGATCTCGTGACAGGTGGCCAGGAAGGTCGATTTCCAATTAATTTTGATACAGCAGGAAGGTATCTTAACACTTAATATCTTTTAAAGAAGCATTCACTCCTGACATGAGTTTGACTGTTATGTGAGAGATACATTAACTGTTAAGTGTCAAAAGTAAAGATCTCCCCCCAAATGAAGTAATGATATGCATCTATGCAAAATCTTCCTAGATTATCCAGGAGTCTCCTGAATACAAATCGAATCTCCCAGTCTCCCAAACAGGTCACCAGAACTCCCAGATACAAAAGATGGTGATTAAAGTAAAACATTTTGACACTCACTTTGGCTGATTTTGGGAATTGTTGGGAGATGTTTGACAAGTTGTCATGATTGAAACAGCAGAACTCAATTAATTTATGTGCTGACAAGTACATTTTTTTCAGATCGAGAAGAGGCAAAATTGGCAGGCTCCCAGATTTAATTTTTTAAGTTTTCGTGTCTGGAAATGGTTTTGCTGAGCTCAAAAGAAGCTACCGATCCAATTTAGTAATGACGTCCATGAATTAGGAACCTCAAATGTTAGTTGAGCTTAGAGACGTGAAAGTTGCAACTTTCCAAAACTAGCAAATCAGGGAATGGCTGCTAAATGCGAAAGAAATGAGACAGTGCTGTTTTTCTAATTTGCAACTGCAGTTGAACTTCCAGTTGTGACCACCTCTCATCAGTGACCAGTTAAGTTTCCAAGTCAAATCACTATATTATTTGGAACCTCTTGAAAGTGACCACCTAGCTCTGGTTAGCCTGTTCCAGGCTCTTAGTAGTTGGGGACAAGTAAAAGCAAGAGCGCGAGTGAGAGAAAAAACAAAGGAGGCCTAAGGCGAGGAATGATAAGAGAGCCTGTAAGAATATCTTTAACGACCCTCTTCTGCAGTCAGATAAGGTTCCCCCTTGGGAATTGTACTATTTCCTTGCACAAAAAATAGGAGAACATTTCCAGCTAGTTGAGAAGTTGACATTTTTATTTTTCGACACCTCATTAAACCAAAGGTGGGCGGAAGAGGGTCATTAAAGATATTCTTACAGGCTGTCTCCCTTCCCTTCCTCACCTTAGTTCTCTCTCATTTTTTCTCTCACTCGCCCTCTTTTTTCGCTTGACCCCAGCTAACGAGAGCCTGGAACAGGCTAACCTCTCGTGACCACTTTTGGAGCTAAAAGTTTGAAATTTTCGTCTGTTTTTAACCTCCCGTAAGAGACCACTTGACAGATCATAGAGCGGAAACTGGATAATAAGGTGCTGCAAATTGATCTCATTCCTGGGTTGTACAAAAGACAAAAGTATTTCTCAAAAATTTACTTGTCAGATGTATGAAACATTAAAACATGGGGTAAGTCTTGCAGTTACCATATATGCTAATAAGGGATTTGACCCAATAATTATGGTCTAAGCTCTTGTAATCTGCCACCTCCCCAAAGCGACCATGTAGGCTTGATATTTTGGGTGGTCACTTACTGGAGATTCGACTGAATACTCTCTGACGTATTACTAGAGCAGCAACAACAATTGCAGCAACGATTGTAACAATAATAGACTAGTTTAATTGTACCAGAAAAAGGTTGAAATAGAACAAATTGCAATGTATTTCACCAGAGAAGATCTAATTGCCTGTGTGATAACAGTGCATGGGAACAAACCATAAAGAGCTTGAAACTACAATTCAAGTTAGGTCAGGTGGCCATTGAATATTGTTAGTTATGGTGAGACTGCTTCCAGTAAGTTAAAAGGTTAAGTCTGCATACGAGCCAAGTGGCTCATCAGGCCGGAGCTTATCCTGGTTTCAGTAGGATGGAGCAACTGGGAGTATTTGTACTCCCCCCTGGGTGGGATGCTAGTCCATCGCACGGTTACCCCCCCAGTGTTAAATTCCCTGGTACCTATTTATACACCTGGGTGGAGAGATGCACAGTGAGAGTAAAGTGTCTTGACCAAGAACACAACACAATGTCCCTGGCCAGGGCTTGAACCCAGAGTGCTTGCTCCGGAGTTGAGCGCACTAACCATGAGGCCACCGTACCACTGCTTCCAGTAACACCCAGTATCTGCCAGATCTCCAGTGGTATTCTGTTGTGAATTGTCACCAGTAATGTGTTACTGTAGCAGTTTTCAAAGTTTGGCCCTTTATAGGAAATTGTTATGGGGCCTCTGTTATTTCTCAGTTTTTTTTTTCCTGAAGGGTGTAGCACAAGGGAAGACACTTAATATACTCTTCTTGAAAGCACTGATTTAGTCTCTCCTTTTTTTAGGCATGTCGTGTTTGTTTATGCAGTCAATAGAGTCAGTGAGGTTGTTTCCAATGAAATTGTGGTTACTGCATTGGAACCAGTACTGGGGGTGAGTGTGTCAAGCTCTGTTTCGTTATAAGGAGTGCATTTTTGTTGATGAGACAGATGACTAGCCAGGATGTAGCTAAGAAAACACTAAGCTTGCTCATTTACATGCCCAGTTGGCTTTTCTGGCCTTATGTGGCAGCTCTAGAATTTACCCTCAAAGTCTTTGTTTTTGTGTGAAGTATAAGGTCTCTTTCATAGACAGTGAAATTGTTTGGCAGTTAGCCCAAGTGTTCATGACATTTAAGGAGTAGAAAATATTTTCTGTGTTTGTATTGAATTTTAGAAGCATGACTGAAAGTTTGGAAGAACAAGGAATGCTTTAGGAATACATGTAGTCAAGCTGCAGGCAGGCATTTCCAGAGATGTTTCAAGTGTTCCCCAAACACTTAGAAAAAGTGATTTCTACTGCTTTTAGAGAACACTGCAAATGAAGAAAGGGAAATCACTTGTTTGTTTGGATTATCAAAATGAAAATTGCTTTGCTTGCATCATCATGATGGGAATTTGTTAAATTAGTGTCAGCTCAGTGTCTCTGTAGATGTATGAGAGGTGTCTGTTTGTCTGTTTTGACCCTCTTATGTCAAGCTTTAAGTTTCTGTGGCAGCCATGTCAAAGGGTTTTGTAGTAGTGGGTAGGATAAGTGAAAATTTACTAGACTGTTAAGGCTAGAGATGGAGTGTTACTAGGTGGTATAAGGCAGCAAAATTAATTGTGGCCTACTGAAGCTGCCAGCACATTTTGATAGTACTAACTGCTGCACAGTTTCATCTCAGATACATGTAAGTGTCTCATCTCTGGCATTTAGTGGTACATCTCCAGATCTAAAGCTTGTCCATAGAGTCAGTAGAGGTTCTTTTATTTTCCTCACTTCATTTCAGTCTTACAAGATGCTATGAAAAATTCAACCATATCACTAACATAAACAGTGATTTACATGTAAGTTTCTAGGGAGCTTGAGCACAGACAATAGATTTTCTCTTTGGGGCGTGTTATAAACTTTGAATGTTAAGAATAGTAAAATGAGAACTTTCCAGCCAATTGGAGGGATATGAACAGGCAAGAACCGTAAGATTCAGCATGATGTCTGTGATTCAAACATTCTTGTGGTTTAGCTCTCCAATATCTATTTAAAAAAAAGAAAACATGTACCATGTTTCCATCGAGTTTAATAGAAACACAAGTGAGAATTGAGTTTGGGAGAAATGCTGTGGGAACAAGAGCCATTAGGTGAGTGTTTCCACAGCTTTTTTGAGTTCTCCCTAACTTTCATGAGTGTTTCTATAACTCGATAGAAACATGGAGGTTTTTTTTTCTTTTAGAAAATACTGTGACAAATAAAAGAAAAACAACCCGTTTACTTTGATCATCAAAATGTAAATTCTCTTTGCTCGCACCATCATTACGTCAACAGCTCATGCTAGTTCTGTGTACAGTGTACTTTCTATCAAGTTATAGAAACACGATTTTGAACTAATCAGTGTGTATATATTTTCTCTGGGTTATTTTTGAAAGATCAATGTAGAGTGTTCTGTTTGTATCTAGAGTTTTTCTTTAATTGTCTGTGATCTCTATTAACTCATTCTTTGATGATGAGGTTGCTTGTAGATGTTCACAAGTTGGGTGTTAGGATACCAACAATTGTTTACCTCTCAAATGTTGAAGTAAATGGATTTCTTTCCTTATAATTTTGTTTCACCAGCTCTCTATCGATCACAAAGGAATAATACTGTTAGGACAGCCAGTGCATTTAAGTGCAGACTTAAAGCAAGGAACCAATGTCATATTTAATTGGGATTTTGGTGAGGGATTGCCGATCAGTACATTCAACACCTCATCACCAAATGTCACCTACAGCTACACCAAGTAAGATCTGTCAGGAATGAAGTTATTAGTGGTTCAAAAAATATTATTTTGTTAATAAGTTAAATCAGTATTTTGAAGTTCAGTTTGATCTTGTCTGTGGAAAGCTTACAGTTTTCATTCATCCATCTTTTTGTACAGAAAAGGGAGGTACAAAATTGTTCTTACTGCAACGAATGGCATTGGACGTGAAGAAAAAGCATCAATCACAGTTTATATTACTAATGTACCACAGTGCTACCCTCCTAAAATTAACATACTTGGAGTCTCCAGCAGCAAGGTTAGTTTGAAATCTTATGCTGACCACGCTACTCATGTAGATATAATAACACGTCACTAAATAAATTATAGGCAAACTCTGTCTTTCAGGGGCACACAAACTCTGTTCAATCAACAGTAAAGCAGTAAAGGATTTTTCAGTCATCTTGACAGGAAAACAGAATCCTTATCAGTTGATATAAAGTACGTCACCACTTAACCAATTCAGGGCTCAAAAAAAGTGCTGTCCTGTCGTCCAGGGCAAGTAGATTCTCCTTCTGGGCAAGTAACTTCTCATTCTCACTTGCTCAATGGGCAAGGGATCAGGCAAGTCAAGAGCAAACAAAGACTTGCCCAGGACACAAACAATATCTGAGAGATAGTTGTCCTAAGGGCAAGCTGGAATTCAAGTTTTTTTTTTTGAGCCCTTAACCATTAACCTTAGGTTTTGTTCAGTGCTTATTAATATTGAATATTACAGGTAAACCGATCCAAAGAGATCCAATTAGAAGCTGATGTCACTCTAACCTGCAGTGAAGACAGGGAACTACTGTACTTATGGACGGTAAGATTACTGTTAGTAGTAATTTTTCAGAAAAAATAGTTTGGAAGTAGTGGGCTGCAGTCTGTTTTGATAATAATGTTGATTTGGGTGGCCAGTAAGTGGTAGTGCTAATATGGCGACCTTTAGATTGAACTACAAGTATGAAATTGCGAACAAGTGCAATTTTCAAACCAGTGACGTTTCCAGAGCCCTCGCTCTTCATGTTGGGTTTAGGTAGCAAGTGTAGCTGATAGAATGAAATGAGTATATGACGTGATAATGTGAAGCCCGTAAACTAGAATTGAAAAGTTGTTCTTTGTACTTGATTTTATACTTGTACTCACATCTAACTTCCCCTAATAGGATTCTCCTTGTGCATGTTAAGACATTCTATCCATATAAATGTAGCCAGAGAGTTTCCTATTTGAAGGTGCTTAGATTGTATTAACAGGAGCCCATCACTAGGAACGTGCAACTCCCATACTAGGCCTATGTCACAGTATTTTTACATATTGGTCTATTGTTAGGCTTCTATTCTCAAAAAATAGGTCAGTTCCGGTCTACATGGAAGCCCCAGATGGACATGTCAACTTAATCTTCCAGTGAAATTATGATGTCAGCTAAAAATTAAGTCTTTGCTTGAGATTGGTGACTGAGTTTCCTGCAGGGATCTGGATTTGCAGTAAATTCAGACTAAAAATACAGTCAAACCTCTATTAAGTGGCCACTCTCAGGGACGAGACAACTGGCCACTTAATAGAGGTGGCAGTTTAATAGGGATTCACCCGAAAACAACGTTGGGTGTGGTCCAGATTTCACTTTATCAAACAAGTTATAGGTAAGTACAAATTAACAAATGCAACTGGAGAAAAAGGAGAACAATGATGGTCATAATGTGGTCCATAAGGTTAACAAAAGCCAAAGAAACAAGTACTTTTCCATATTGTCATTCTTTTACCTTCATCTGGCTAATCAAATCTTTGTGGCCGTTTAAAAGAGGTATAAAACAAAACAAAGTCATCCTTGGGACGACAAGAAGCTGGCCGCAGCTGCTTAATAGAGGTGGCCATTGAATAGAGGTTTTTATTACAGTGCATAGCTGACAATTTTTCCGGGACTTTGGCCACTGACTGCCAAATAAAGGTTGGCCGCTTAATAGGGAGCTGCTTAATAGAGGTTCGACTGTAGATTGGTCTGTGAAAATGCCGTGACAGGAATATTGGGTAGTTGCAAGCTCCATGGACTCCTGGTATTATGAGATGGATTTTGTGTCAAATGACATAGGGACTTTTATTAAATGTCTTAAACCAAATTTCAGATAACCCGTGCATCGGGAAAAAATGTTGAGCCAGAAGGAGTCAGCTTCACAGAGCAAGTTCTTATTATCCCTCCTTGTATGCTGGATTATGGAGAATACCACTTCCAGCTTGAGGTATGTAACAAATTAAAAGTTATATAACTTGATGCATTTTACAGTAAGGACACTTGAACCAATGTGAGAGGCACGGTGGCCTCATAGTTAGTGTGCTTGTCTCTGGATTGAGTGGTCTGGGTTCAAGCCGTGGCCAGGGACATTGCGCTGTACTCTTGGGCAGGACACTTCACTCTCACAGTGCCTCTCTCCGCCCAGGTGTATAAATGGAGTAACCCTGCGATGGAGTAGCATCCCATCCAGGGGGGAGTAGAAATACTCCTAGTCGTTTCATGCTACAGAAACCAGGATAAGCTCCAGCCTGATGGGCCAAATAGCTCGTATCCAGACTTTTTACTTACACTTGAATCATGTCAAACACTTGACATTTTTTGATGACTATAGATAATATAATATAGATAAATTATATGTTAACATAATATGATATAATATTATAAGTAGATAAAACTACTTATTAACCGAGAGTGAGGTCTTTACTGGAAAATCTCAAACCAAGACCTTGTTGTATTGATCGAGCGATAGCGAGGTCAATACAGCAAGGCTGAGGTTTGAGATTTTCCTGTAAAGGCTGAAAGTTCAAGGTTAATAAGTTGTTTATTATATGGCTTTTTGCTTTGGTTTTGCGGGCCTGTAATTGGCCTGTGGGCATTACAGGAGAGTAATGCCCTACAATTAGCCAATCAGAGCACGAACTATATCGGCTACAAACACAAGCCACGTGATAATGTACTGTAATGTATGTTGTATTTTCCACTGGCTGAGGAACAAAATAGGTGGAAAATGTTTACTCACATACCGCTGGGGCCTGGGCCCAAGGGGTTGTTTTTTGAGTCACGTGCTTAGTGTTGCTTTTCAGTTGCTGTTTTGCTGTCCGCCATTGGTGACGAATATTTCAGAGCCCCAGTTCCCACCCAACCCCTCATTTGAGTTGATAACATACACTCTGTTACACTGTAGTTAGATATTCTTTATTAAGATTATCAGCATAGAGGCTTACTAAGCTTATATCTGTTGTTTCATATTACTGCATTTCTGCCTACATTACGTATTATGTTAGGCTGCTGGTCAGCTTGACGATGGTTCCCAGAAGTGTGTGAGAAATAAGATTAGCATTTTTACAGTGTATAAACAATAATACCCTTGTTAATATGGCGGAGCCCTCATTCTATGGTCATTATTTAAATAAATGTTCACGGTTTGATCAAGTGACAGGCCTGAGTGTAAAAATTTACCCAAATTGTCATTTAAACGCCAATGTAAAAATTTGTTCTGTAGTCCCTGGTTAGTGCTTTTAACCACTGTTAAACAGCAAACTCTAGGGTAGGAAATGCTAGTCCATCGCAGGGTTCCCCCCAACTTTAACTTTACCAGTACCCACCCATTTGTACAACTTGGTGGAGAGAGGCATTGTGAGAGTTAAGTGTCTTGCCCAAGAACACAACACAATTGGTGCTGGTCAGGACTTGAACCACCGTGCTTCCCACACTTTTACGCCTCCCACATACCTTGTGTATCTTAAATAAAAGACAAGAGGAGATTAGGTGTTCCCATGAATCCAACATTGTTTGATCAAATTGAGCTAATAAGAGTGACTCTCAACTTCTCCACAGGTTAAGGTAAAAGGCACTGTCTTATCAGATGAGAAGAAGATTAGTCTTGAAGTCGTGAAGAGCCCACTGGTGGCAGTTATTGATGGCGGAACAACAAAGGTTGTTGGCCGTAAAAACAATGAAATCACCATGGATGCATCTTCTTCTCATGACCCAGATTTCCCAGATCAGGGGCATCTGATTAGGTAGGAAAAACAAACCTGAAATTTTCCCGCAAGGTACATAGTAAGGGTAGGTGTGTGTCCAGCCAAAGTGGCCCATAGATGCCAGACATTGTCCCAGTTAAGGTGGCTCAAAAATTCCAAGATGTCGATCCTGATGGATCATTATAACCACTTTTTTTCAGTTGATGCTACAATCATTGGTGAAGATGTTATCATTTTTGTGACACTACACTGTATATGATTCCATAGCGAGAGTATATCCTACTAAAATCACCCCCAATTTATCGTATCGAATTTTGATAAGCAGGATAAGATGGAGCTTTTGGCAAAGCGTAAAAAAAATTATGTACATGGGTTCAGAGCCACCTTAAATTTTCCACAGTAAATAATAATTACTTTTATTTGATAACCCCAGTCAGGGCATGAACCCAGCATGCTTGGTCCCTAGTGTCTCTGGTCCAAAGCTGTAATCATTGAACAACCTCACTTCTCTCCCAAGATACATACAACAACAATGATTAGAGGCTGTGAGAGAGGGCCCAACAAAGGTTTGGTGGGATGCGGGATAAGGGTAAAAATGGAGGTGGGATACCGGATCACAGAAATTTTATTGGCAGGATATGGGATAGAAATTCTTTGGCAGGAGCGGGATCAGCTTATTTTGACAGACAAGTTGCAGGATAGTTTTAAAATTGAAGGCGGGATACTGGATGAACGAAGGGGAAAACTGTGACTCTAACCAGGCGGGATTGAGGTAAACATTCTGACCGGGGTGGGAAGGTAGGATTGAAGCAAAAATAGTGGCAGGATGCATGATTGAAAAAGCCTATGTTGGACCCTCTGTGAGAGGGTGGGAAAGGTGATTCTGTTTTGCATAATGGCATGACTGTTTTCATCACTCTACTGTTCCTTTCTACACAGGTTTCAGTGGAATTGTCATCCAGTAGGACACAAGAACATGCCTTGCTTCAATGAATCGAAAATATCTGGAATAAGACAAAACCAAAGTGTTCTGACTTTTCAAATGGACTGGCTATTGAGTCGTGACACATTCGAATTTGCTGTTACAGTGTCAAAAGATTTTCGAAAATTTACCGCACTGCAGATTCTCTATGTGGACTTCAAAAAATCACACCTGTGAGTTGCATTTAAATGTGTTATACAGTAACAATGTTTTTAGCGAGCCAATGCTAAGAGGTGTTGTTTCACTTTAAGACCACTCGGTAACAAGTTTGCTTTAATTAGGGTGACCTAATCATTCAGTTCAATGTTTGGTGGCAACTCTGATAAATGCTGTTTGAATAGTGCCATGTGGTGAGGAAGGCTGTATCAAAAGTTCTGAACATTTTCCTGGATTTTGCAGTATTATGTGAGATGTTCACGAGATTTGTTGCAATTTGCCGTTCATTGCTACCAGTTTCCTGGAAAAGTTTTGAGTCTCCTGATTCTTGCTAATCTTTTTCTAAATTCCAGCAAAACCTTCCTGCTCTCCTAACACGGCCAGCTAATGTAGCTGTTGGTAATCAATAAACCCTGAGGAGCAGAGTCCTGAGATTTACAATTAAGTTAAAATGTTTTGTCTTGAAATAGCTAATGGAGTTGTTTGTTTTCCAGGTTGTCTGCTAACTGTCCCCAGTGTGATAAGGGACTTATAAATCCAAGTGTTCCTCTAGTCATCACAGGCTTGTGTTTGACATGTCCCTTGGACAACACTAAAATCACGTACACATGGGAAATCTTTCATGTAGTTGTTGGTGACTCTAACTTGGTCGCAAAGGAGGAGTGTAAACCCTCTCCAGAAGACAGTGATCAGAACAGCGGAATGCTTAATTCTGATGTTAGCAGTACTAGGAAGCCATCACCTACGATACCGCCCTTGCAATCTCAAACAACTCCTGAACAGTTGATTGTTGGTACGACACTCCCAAGACCAACTAATCAGCCAGTAACCGCTCGCACTGTCAAGGCAACCAATACACAAAGCTCTCAGGTAAAATTTGCCAGTGGAAGCATCTGCAGAGATTCTGGTCAGATCTATGGGCCAACCTCAGGACCATCTTCAAGGTCTTCTACCAAGAGGAGGCATCCAGCAGGATTTCCAGGAAGCGGTAGTGGCGGTGGTGGTTCAGGGAGCGGGGATGGGTTTGTTCATCGCAGAGGTAGTGGTAGTGGTAGTGGTAGTGGAAGTGGACGTGGAAGTGGAAGTGGTTCGGGGTCAGGGAATAATCCAGACTTTGGAGCTGGAGCTAGAAATAGAAGCACGGTCTCGACAACTACATCACAACAGAATTTCACTACTACGACCCCAGTGACTGATGACAATGGCAATGAGGATGATGGTGATGGTGAGCCTGAAGATATTTATGACTCGCGGTATACGCCACGATCTGCAAGGCATACCGGCAGCATTATCAGACTTAAACGTTCCAGACTGAAACTTCTAGAGATGTATACGGCTACAGGCCTCAAAAGCCAGAACTTTGTTTTACTTGACAAGTACAAGTATTTCGTAGGAGGTCGTACATACATGGTGGCATTCAAGGTATCTGATGGTAGAACTAGGCAGAAGGGAAAAGCAACTGTCTACTTCAACACAAGTGACATTCCGGAATGTGGAGTATGTACAGTAACACCTTCTGCTGGAGTTGCTATGGAGACCACTTTTCGGTTGACATGCTCAAAGTGGAGGGCTGTGGTAAGACTTTGGCAAGCATTTCCTCAAGAATCTCATATTTACGTACATTTACCTCTTGCTAACCGAGTTTGAGGTCTGTACTGTAGGCTATGAACCAAGTTCTTTTTCCCTTTTGATTTGTGGCCCAAGTGAGAAGCCCACAAACCATGAATCAAAGAGAAATAAAATGAGGATTTAAATTACTGACGCACATCAGAAGCAAAATGCAGTCAATTTGACATTGTTAGCACATTGAAAATCAGTATGAAAGGTTCAAATCTCAGGCATCTGTTGAGCAAGGGAAGAATTAAGCATGCAAGGATAGACAAGGGCCAGATTTCATTTTGACTGAATGAGTAAGGGCACTGGGTTTGATGTCTTGAAGTCCTTGCTCCATACTCATGAATAATTCATCAAGTTTAAACAAAGGAAATCATGACCGTGACAGTGTTTGGATAACTGATCTTAATTAGCATCGATTTTTTTACGATTTTAACTCTCCATTTTTTCCTTAGTTTTAGTTTTGATTGAGTAGATGTATCAAACACTCAAGCGAGTGTTTGACCACATTTCCAAATACCTTGAGTTCGTCAAAAATACTCCGCTGTGCATCATATTTCCAACTCTCTTCTCGGTGTTTGGAAATGTGTCTAAACACGGTCTTTAGTGTTTGATATATTACGTCTCAAAATCATATTTCTTCCTTTATGAAGATTTGTCCTTGGTAGCCCTGCATCCAACTCCTGGACCACTGTTTGTAAAAAGCAACTGCATGGTTAGCCTCCTTGCAGTTGGGATTCTTATCAACACATTCCTGTTCAGTTTGCAGTTGGATTTTTGGTTATTTACAGCATCCAGTATTAGCTCTGCATTGTTGAACCCGCTCTCACGTGAATCTCTCTTTTATTTCAATTTTTTTTTGTTAGTGTACATGTAGAATGCATTCATTTGGGACGGTCCAGATCAGGATCAGTGATTCAAAATTACTTGGGTTGTGGTGCATCAAAGGAGCTGATGAATCCTTGCCCAGAGTGGATGTATCGGTTCATTTGATGCAGCATGATTTCTTGGTTTGTTAACTTTGATTCTGCTCCAGATCATCCCAAATGAACACACCTTTACCCAAGCTATTAGTAATTTAATGTTTGATTTTCATGTATGAATCTCTTTGTAGGGTTTGGGACTTCTAAGTTACCACATAAGCTACAGCACTGGTGGTGATAATGGCGATGAAAAAATCTTGATCTACTCCGGATACAGATCTGTGGTTCCATTTGTATTGCCACCTGGATTGCCTTCCTTTAATAACGCAGGTCTGTAATCTGATTTCTTAACACGTAACGTTATCTGAATACATGTATTAAGAACCTGTTCATGGGATTTTGGTTTGGCAATATGATCATCAATGTTACCAAAAGTAGTATAAATTATAATGCAGGTGATAACTGAACTTCTTAATGTGTACTTGGCAGTGACTGAATGGCATTATTATTCTGTATTCTGGTTGTAGTTCAAATTTATGTAACAGTATCCAGTGGAGAGGGAACTAAGCAAAGACTTCAGAGACCATTAAGAGTGAAAGTGATACCTCAGTCTGCTAAAGAAGGAGTCTCTATGGAAGAAGTGCTGTAAGTTTAATTCGCAATTAACACAATTTATTACATGGCTAGCCCCGTTAGAGGATAGATAGCTAAATCCTGCTCTGTAATTGGCTACGTGAGTGGGCAAAATGGTGATATCCTGCCCCCTTGGGATTACCTGCTGACTAAGTAAATGGTGAGTACTGACCGTGTATCCCCATGGTATATACTGCTTCTTTAATATCCTCCGTTGAAGGTCCAAAAGAGACAAAAATGTCACTGCTGTTAACAGACAAAGGGCTGGCATTTACATGAAACGGAACGACTAACGACTAACAAACAACACTAATTAAGAAATAGTGAACATGCAGCGTGTAACCATGGACGCTATCTTCTTGAGTGTGTAGCAAACCTCCCAAGAGCATCCATAACGCGATGGCTGAACGCTGCACGTTTACCATTTCTTTTATAGCATTGAAACCTTTAACATAGATAGAGGTATTTATTGAATCTCATCCGGCTTAAATGAAGTCTATTAGGGTTAGATAACACAGTCGGACTCCTATTAAGTGGCCACCTATTAAACAGCCTCTCCTATAGTATTAGGCGGCCAGTAATCAAAGTCCCGATGAGGGCTTTTCTATTGTTGTTACCTTTATTAAACGGCCAACCCCTTTTAGGCGGCCAGTATATCAATTTCCCCGAGGGTGGCCATTTAATAGGGGTTGAACTGTATTTTCGCTTTCCATATAGTTATATGACCAAAGCCTTTTTCATTAGGTTGAATAAAACAGTTGGAAAGTACCTGTCAGTGTTGCAAGAGGCAGGGGACGAACAAGGAGTCAGGCATTTTATAACAGCATTGGCGAATTCTCTGAACAGGTAACCCAATCTGTTACATTAACATTACATCTACGTCGTCCTATTTTGAGGTATTCCTATTTTGTACGTCAGAATTGAAAACGCGTTTGTTAGTATCATTAAACCAGTGTCACACGAGTTACTGAAGAACTTTGATGCTGTAACAAGTGATTGACGTCAATTTTTTGCTGTGTTTCAGCCTTGGTTCTGTCAAAAATGTGAGCTCCAAATTTCACCTGAGGATACAGATAAGAGAGCACGTGCTGTTGCTTATTAAAACTCTCTCTGTGAATGACAAGGTAAAGAAAATAATGAGTCGGTACTAGGCGAACCTATAGTGTAGAACAACTACTGTTGAGTCCCAAAAACACGAACCCTCAAGGGAAGTCGAAAAAGGTTCGAGTTATTAATACGTTAGCAGATGTCTGACTGTAGATGAATGACATTGTATCCATTGAAGTGAGTCTCACTCCACGTGAAGCAATCTTCACGTCTTTGTTGGCTGATCACCAGCCTCAGTCTAGCAGTACAGTGTTTTTAAATCTCTTTTTGTCGAATGAATTTAGAAGTAATTTGGTGTCGATTTTATTTTCAGAATTCAGCCTTTCAAACATGTTTAGCTCTGCAAGCACTGACTGCAAGACCAGATGAGGTATTTGAATGTACTGTGCTTGTTCACCAGGACCGTGGCTTAGTCCCCTGACCCTCCCACCGACGTAAAGTGCCCATTACTTGGAAGTGTCCCTTACGCGCTAGTGCGGCCCTTACTTGGAATTGCCCCTTACTTTGAAGTGTCCCTTACTCGCTAGTGCAGCCCTTACTTGGAAGAGCCCCTTACTCGCTAGTGCAGCCCTGACTTGGAAATGCCCCTTGGAAGTGTCTCTTACTCGAAAGTGCTCCCAACTTTGAAATGGCCCTTACTTGGAAGTGCCCCTTGGTTGAGATCACAAGGCATTGTAAAGTTTGGTTACAACTGGAATCGCGAGTCAGTGCCTCCTTCCTTAGAACACGTTCTAAAAGTAGTTCAAATATGTGGCTGTACCCATTTATTGATCTCCCTCCCTTTATGAAGGTTTTCACTTTACTGAAGGCTGAAACAAAGCAAATTACCTACCAGTTAGATTATAAAAACCGAAACCAAAGTAATTTCCTGATTACTTTCGACACCCACTTGAAAGAAACGCTCTAAGGCAAGATTTTATTTTATTAAAACTGATATGCCGTCCTTATTACCTCGTGAAATGCGATAGCAAGTCACGAGTTGTAGTGGGTGAGTAGACTATGCCAATGAAATACGCAAATCAGCAGTCGGTCACTATCTGTAAAGTTTTTGTAGTAATTCTGCTGACCAGTATATTAAGCCTGTGAAATCACTGCATGAGTCAATATTGCGGGCGCACATAACGTTTTACACATAACGAAACTGCGAGTGATGCACTAAAAATGGAAACTTTATTATTATTTTTTTCAATTTTAAGCTTACTAGAAGTGGTGTGGAAACAGCATCTCGCATACTGCAGCACCTTGGTGAAGTGATGCAGACGACACAGAGAAGAATGCGTTCCAATAAAATAGAAGACAGATTTCTACTTAGTCAGGAATTTATTCAAGCAATGACAAGAGTGACATCCAACCTGATCGAAGCTTCTTCAATGCTCATTGACAGGTACACGCATATGCCCCGGTACCAACGTATAAATTCTCCTAAGCGATTTCAATACATTTCTTGTAGGACTACTGGAAGAATTCTAATCTTGATCATTGCTTGTTTTCGCATGGCCTGCATGTCTTGAGGGTCATGAAAATGAAAGTGACTTTTTTTTGCTTGTAAATGAAGATGTTTATTTTGTTTATATAGGAATCCAAGGATGTTAGGCAGGCAAGACGCCGAGGAGAATGTTCTTCTCAGGGCAACGGAAGCTGCTGAGAAGCTCATCAAGGTTAGCAGTTGCCCTTTAGGTCTTATGAACCGTCAGACTGGTTAACCCACGGCAAAAAGCGCTTTAAAAGCGTATCTCAGTAATTTATTTCTTCGCCTCTGCTCAAACATTCACCGAAATCGTAACGGCGGTTTCATGATAACATCCTGTGAAACACGACCATTCGCTAACCGTACTTCGCTATGTGCTGAGGAAAATCAGTTTTGGATTTCCTGGCGTTATCAGCAACAGCGAAAAGTCAGAAAAGTCTAGCGGCAGTAAGGTCCTTGTTTGATGATTGGCGCTTTTCAGTTGACCTTGTTGAGGTTTCGAAATATTTCGGGTTTTTTTTCTAATATTATTTCCTGTTTTTTTAGTGGAATGCCTCAATAAACGGCCAGATCTCAATGATTAGATTAGATCGTGTTTTGGGGGGTGGAGTTCATATCGGAAGCAATATTGTATTTAAAACATTTTTCGATATATATTTGAAAGTGAAGTTGCGTTTTGAAGATTTTAGTAGCTGAGTTTGATAACGCGGCTTTTCTACAATCCCAGACAAAAAAGTTGGGACATGAAGCAAGTTCTCGCCTCCCACCACTTACAGTGTTGATAATCAGGTGATTTTGTCCCTTTTTGTTGAGAAAAACGCGACATTTGTCAACATTGATTAGGGAGGATAGAGAATACGTGATCCAGCTCANGGGGATGGGGGATACGTGCTAAGTGTCCCAACTACTTTTGTCCGGGATTGTAGCTATATCATAATGTAAGTTAATGTATGCTCAATAAACGAGTTTGTTGTTTTCAGGCCAAGTTGTCGGTGCAAGTTCTCGGAGAAGCGCCCCTTATCCTAACTACACCTAACATCTGGGTGAATGCAACACAGTTGACTTCTATCAGCAATTCACTTTTCTCTCTCGGTGATGTCGAATTTCACATGCCCACAAACCTTGAGAAGCAGCTCAACACTGTATCTGATGGGAAAGAAGGGAAGTGTTATGGAACTATGATGACTGTTTATAAAGAAAATCCCTTCTTCAGTGACATGGTAAGAATCTGAAAGGAATGGCTTGTCTTTTAACATTTTTTGATTATGCTTTTCAAACATTTAATCAAACAAACCATTAAACTCTCAAGAGAGGCTTCAATTTTGATTTAAGGTGGCTCGCAACTGTTTCCAGCACTTTCCAAGACGTATATTTTGTATGATACCATTATTGTAGCATCACTTGTTAAACAGTGGACTGGTAGTATTCATCCTTCAAAGTGTAGCTGTTAGAAAAGTGCTGGAAACTGTTGCTAGCCTCCTTAAATATTATATGAAAGCTATCAGCTTCCACTATTTCATTCCATGACTTAACTACCCTATTGAAGAAATAATGTTGATACCAGTTTAGTTTCACCTGGTTTAACATAAAGATTCTTTGTTGGTTAGCTTTGGTAGAATTTATTTAGTAAACTGAATCTTAAGTAAAAGAATCTTCCTATGCTATCCATGGTTTTGAAGTTGATCTCTTACGTTTTCATTTTGTTTCAGCATCACACCAAAGTTGGTAGCCTGAGCATCAGTAACTGCTATGGAGAAGATATAGAAGTGCGAAATCTGAGCAGTAGTATTGTCATCTCAATACCTCACGGAAATCATAAGGTAACGATGTTGTTATAGTCATTAATTGAACCTTCGGCTTATTTCGGCTCTCGACAAAACCTTAATAAAATACTTTTCAACATTTGTACTACCTTTGCTACTGTTTCAATTCTGAGTTGGCGGCGAGGGCGGGGGAGGGAGGGAATGAAAAGATACTAGAATACCCAGGGGTGAGAGACCGAAACTAAGAAACCTCCCGTGGGACGGATATCAATGTTTTCTGGAACAACAGTTTTTGAAGTGACTATTCCGTCTTTCCTGCCAGGTCGAACAATTTACGAAGGAATACTTGTTACACTGGAACCATGAAAATAATCATGTTATAAACCAAACAGAAAAGAGGATAAACCAGGTGCTGCAGATCCATTTTAAACCACTGTCCACCTTGGCACCTGGATTTGTTGTCAAACTCATTCTTAGCAGGTATGTTGCGATGATTACCTCATTATTATTTAATCAACAGACAAATGATTGATTTCTTGTTTTACAATTTGTTTTTATAGCACTGCCAGTGCAGATTCATCCTCAGAGAATCGCATTGAGTACTCAGAGACGAGTTCAGGGACGGCCATTGACTTCTACTTGAGCCATGAACAGCTAACTAATGGTAACTTAAAGTTAACGCCCAGAGCTTCACAGCTCACGGCGTAAGAAAATCTTTCTGCTGTGTGAAGCTGGCGAAATGCTGTCGTAAATTTCTTATTTGAGGAGTCTTTCGCTGTCTTCGCGTTTTTTTAAAGATGAGCCACACATTAGCTTTATGCTCACGTTTATTTTAAAGCTTCGTTAAAGAAACTGAAACTTTAAGTCACTTATATGTCAACTTCACGCAGCTTTACGTCAACTTTACGCACGTAGCGTCAACGTCGTCTTTTAAACCTAAAACGGCATTGAAGTTGTAGCGTTAAGTTGGATGACCGGCCATCTTTAAGCAGATTTTAGCCAACTTTAATTTTCCGTACATCTCCATTTTCATTCCGTGGTTAGCATACCAGTGTTGAGGTATATTTTCACTCTTTGACATCTCTAGCAGTTTCCTGGTTTTTTTTT